GTGCAGTGGGAATGGGAATGGCAGCCTTTGATTTAATTTTTGTTCTATCATTTACCTGGTGGACAACAGCCAGCTTCCTTCTACCCAGGGTAATCCCTACAGCACCTTTGTTTTCTTTCCAAAATATTTGCATTATTCAAAACATAGCCAGTTTTCTTTCCCAATGGTTTTGTTTTCCACCTATATCTTCTTACATTTTCTGCTAAGCAATCAAGAAAACAAATTCCAAACCTTCAACACACTACGTGAAGATGTATTCTGCAATATATCCTGGTATATGGTTCTTAATTTTCCACCTTTACAATGTACTTGTGCATGAAAACTCTCCTTTTCCATTATACCATAGATAAATTTTCTTCTGCTTCCCAATATCCTAGCCCATAATTTTCATCTGACAATTTGTTCAAATTTCTTTTTCAAAGTAAGTACACGCACATCCCAAGGAGCAGCTGTGTGGACCAGAGTGGCATACCTGCAGGCCGATACCAGCCAGGGCCCCTCCCTCACCCCAGAGGAGAAGGCACACGTGCCCAGGCCATGGCCCACCTAGAAAAGAGGTACAAAGGCTTCATCCCGATTACCGCCATACCATTGGCCACAGCCAAGGGCCCACCAGAAAATGACACAAAAGCAACAGCCAGAGGCCTACCCCCATACCACTGATAGTGCCTGGAAACCCTAGCTAGAAGCCAACACAGACAACAGGAACTGGGGTACACAGTCCCCAGCCAAATGCCCTCTCAGACAACAGATACATAAGGGCCCCAGCAAGAGGCACACTCAGCATCTCAAGTGTGCAAAGGCCCCAGCCAGAAGCCTGCCCAGACAACAGATCAGCTGACGGATATAGAAGGCCACCACTCTAAATCCAGGAATTGGTCTACTAGGGAGAAGCAGAGTAAAGGCTGCTTGGTGGCTTGCTGAAAACTGAAGACTACTGGGTGAGCAAAAAGTTGCCTCAACAAAGGCACAGCAGGCTGCATCTGTTGAAATGCGACAACAAAGAAATACATCTCAAAACCAGACTTCCACATCACCTAAGGAAACCCCAAACAGAAACAAAATGGAACAATCTGATACTCAACCACCTGGACTCCCTGAACTGACAACGAAAGAGGACCTGGAAAAAAGGCAATAACAAATAATTTCTCAGATAACAGCAGAGATTGTACCCATAGTAGAAGACATGACTAATACATCTACAGTGGACACAGATTTTTAAAAAATACAGAAGCTGAAAAATGTGATGGGATCCCAACATAGGAAAGAAATGGAATCCATAAAACAGATGCAAGCAAATTTCCAGGAGATTAAAAACGTCTCTGAATATTTATGCAGCTGAATGAGCCAATGTGAGGGCACAATTTCAGATACAGAAATAGGATTGCAATGAATAGGAAAAGAAAACTCTCTTAAAAATAGTAAGGGACCATGAGAGATCAATCCAGCAGCTGCTAGACAATTCAAAGAAGAATAACCTAAGACTAATCACAGTCAATGCAGAAACAGGAAAGAGTGCAGATGACATAAAAAACTATTCACAGAAGTAATGTCAGCCCTGCATATGGTAAAAGAAAACTTCCCAAATGGGGAAAAAGAACTTGACAGGCAGATAAGTGAAGCTTATAGAACTCCAACAATCTGTGATTAAAAAAATCAACACATTGGCATATAATAGTTAAGATTCCAGAAACCCAATAAAAGTACAAAATTCTACAAGCAGTTAAGAGAAACAAATGACATACAAAGGAAAGCCCATGATAATCACAGCAGACTTCTCAAAACAAACACACAGGCAAGAAGAGCTTGGAATGATGTATTTCAAGCCCTAAAGAAAAACAACCTCCAATCCAGATTGATGTACCCTGCAAAAACTATATTTCAAAGTTGATGGAGAAATAAGATACTTTCATTACAAAGAGCACCTTAGGAACTTCATGACTTCATGAATAGTAAACCAGCACTCCAAAATTTTTTAAGCAATATCCTAGGAAAAGACGAGGATTACAACCCAGAAAGCCCAAAAGAATGAATCCATCAGGCATGACAAGAAATCAAATGCAAAAAGAGTCCAGCAAAAAGAAAAAATCATGACAAGAATAAGTCAACACATACCAGTTATAAACATCAATGTTAACAGTATAAATTCACCAATTAAAAGAAATAGTCTAGGGCCAGGGATTCAGCTCAGTGGTTCCACCACTTGCCTTGAAAGTGTAAGGTCCCACGTTCGATCCCCAACAAAAGAAAGACTGGCAGAATGGGTCAAGAAGCAAGATCTGTCAATGTGCTACATATAAGAAATACACTTAGGAGCTGGGGATTTATCTCAGTGGTTCCGCCGCCTGCCTTGCTAACATGAGGTCCTGGAGTTCGATCCCCAATACCAAAAGAAGGAAGGAAAGGGAGGAAGGGAGGGAGGGAGGGAGGAAATACGTGAATAAAACATTTTGAAATAAAACAAACTCTATATATGCATTTAACATACTGAATCTAATGAACATTATAAATAAGCCCTTACTACATTAAAATGCTTATCATCTTTATGTTAACTGTAGTCAGTAGAAATTATATGGTATAGAACCTGATTCATAACAAAATATATAATATCATATATAATTTATTAACATATTAAATTAAATTAACTGAAGAGTCGCTTGGAGTTTTGGGTTTAAAACAGAGTGTCACTGAGTAATTCAAGCTGGTCTTGAAGTGATGGCTATCCTACTGCTCAGTCTCCTGAGTGATGGAATGACAGGTGTGCATCACATTAAGCAGATTATTTGTTTTTCACACTTGGCATCTGGTGGCAGAGAAGGGCTCACTGATGCTACCCAGAACAAGTATTCATTTCTGCTATAAAAATGAATATGCTGGTATCACTGAAATATGATGTCTTTATCTCATTGGGAAATTTATTCACAACACCATAAGATGAGCAGCTACATTGAGTAGGATTACTATTTTTCCTTTTTTTGTGAACTCTCTACACTAACTTCCACAGTGATTGAACTAGTTTACATTCCAATCAATGCTGAATGTTCCCCTTTTCCCTTGTAGTCTGCTGCCTTTTTTTTTCTTGAGTCCTTCATAGTAGATGTTGCTTAGTGTGAAGATATTTAACTTTACATTTCTCTAATGGACACAAATATTGAAAATTTCCTGAGAAGTATGTACTTACTTTGCCAGTTTTTTCAACTGGCCCTTTCATTTGGGGTGCATAATTTTTAGAGTTCTTTATATATTCCACATATTCATCCACTGAGGAGTACCTGGTAAAATTCTTTCCCCAGTACAAGTATTGATTCAACTAATTTTTCAAGTCTCTAGGTTCAGCACACGGAATGCCTGATTTCATGTTTCATTATGTTTTAATCTATGATGAAGGCTTATGACTGCTGTACAAATATTGACCATGAAAATATTTCTGGAAGAACAAAATCATGATTTGCCATAGCAACATTTTCTATCACAGGTTTATATTTTAATTTAAACATTTCTTTCCTGAAATTAAAGATGCAGATACAAAGAGAGCTCTTACATAGTTTGCTAAAACAAGCCAAGTTGCCCCCCACTGACTTCAAAGCCATGATCATCCTGTCTTCGCCTCTCTTGATGCTGGGACTAGAGGAATGCACCATCACATCTGGCTTAGACTTTTACATGTTGTGACTAAAAGGAAAACACTGATGTGTAATGCTTTACATTAAAATAATTTTGATACTGTGGAGTGAGAATAGTACTAAAGCACTGACCAGCTCTCCAGAACTTTTTTATGTACTGAGATAGGGTCTCACTGAGACGCCCAAGTTGCCTCCATTTTATTTTCCTCCCAAGTCTTCCTCCCGACATGGTGGAATTACAGGCCTACATCACCAGCAACTAAGATGATGGAAAAGTAAAAATGCTCAGAGTAAAATGTCCTATACTGTGAAAATCCCATCACTGGCTGGAATAGTGATATACCCTGGATATCTTCCTGGTGCTGGTAAAAGGCAGAAGTGAGCCACTGGGAATTCAGCCATATGTTCTAAGGTGTAAATAATTGACATGGTAATCTGCAGTGAATTACATTCCATGAATTACATTGTATCTTTCAGGTACACAGACACAATTTCAGATACTACTGAAATGGTGAGTAGTTTATCTGTCTAAGCATGATTAAGGCTAGACTAAACCATATAATATTCACTGCACTACAGGTGTTCATTCCTCAATTGTATTTTCAGGTTATCACAAGTTTATCACAATGAAACTCCATCAGAAATTGAGCACTATTGATATTTAAAAACAGTGTATAAAATACTTCAAAAATATTTTGCTGTTAAAAAGAAAGGCAAGAAAAAAAACCAGAAAAGGAAACCAACTGAGCCTGTTTGTATAAGTCTATGTGTTTTAACATGTTTGCACATATCTCAAATATCAGACAATGTTCCTTATGGATAAAAAGACACTGTATAAATTTATCTCTAAAATTGGTAAAACAACACAATCTGAATCATAAAGTAGTAAATTTCCTCTTTTTATTAAACAGTTTCTTTTTCATCATGGCCTTATCTCATCTTCTTAGTTAAAGCAATACGGATTACCAAAGAGAATGTAAACCTCAGCATCAGAGAATAAAGGCATTTGCATCATCACATTATGCTTCCCAAAACATCACGGTAAACAAAATTTTTTTACATTATTGCTGATAAATCATTTCATCATTTATACCTTTTGAAGAGATTTCTGTAATTCCTGATATCCATTTGCAGACAAGTTATGTTTTTGCTGACCTGTGGCAAACAGAAACTCACAGCAGTATGGTTTGTTTTTAGAGGTGTTGGAAAAATCACCACAAAATTAAGTTATCATAATATAGGCATGAAAAGCAAAATTTTCATGGAAAGAAGACAAAATTTTATGTAAATCATAATATTGATTCCAACAAGAAAGCAACTAGGCAAAACCATGTACTTAATATAATATACAATCATGTCAGGATATATGCAGGTGTTTGGTCAGGATGTAAAAACACAATATTGCTAATATACATGTTGTGTGAAAACAATGGACCTTTCTCAAAAACACATTCATAAGCCTCTCTCTGTGAAATATAGCATCAAATAAAGAAATATCTTGTTACACAGAATATGGAATGTACACATCAACAAAATTCAAATCAAAGCTACTGGAAAATCCCAACAATTCAAAATCAATTACCCAAATTTACTTCTTCATGGTCTATTCCTCCCAATTGTAAAAACAAAACAAACGCTACATAAATATTAACCCTACTTGGAAGTGAAAACTGGACTTCAATTCACCTTAAGAATCACTATATGTTAAATTTAAAAATGTTGGCATACACAAAAACATATAGTTATGTCAGCCCCATTTTTTTTGCATACTAATGACCACAGATACATACATGAGGTATTTACAAGTAATTTACTGAAAAACACAGAATAAATCCAATTTAGACTATTTCCATTTGGGAAAATATTTTCTAGGAAATTAATAACAAAATATATATATTATTTCTACAGGTTTTAATTGCATAGGGTATTTTCAAAGAAATATATACTTCTCCCCCATGGGACTTCTTTCACATATTTAATAATACCTGTGTGTGCTGAATGCTTTCCTACATTGCTTACATAGACTTTTCCCCATGGCACCTTGTTCATGTGTTTGATAGTGTATCAGATGAACTTTTCCATACATTTCTGAAATGCAATTTTTTGTCTACAAAATCAGATTGCATGAAATCTTCTCCCACACTGCATAGTTTCTTAGTGTGCCCTTTCATATATTTGATGGCACTTTGGTGTACTCTTTTCCCATGTTACTTACATATATATAAGGTTCCCAGTGTGAATTTCTTCAAGTTAGACCAGTACTTTGTTGGATGAAGATTTCTCACATTACTGATACAAATAGTTTTTCTTATGTCTTCTTTCATTCATTAGAAAATATTTTTGTGTAGGGTGTTTTCCCACATTGTTTACATACATAGGGTTCCCACGGTGTGAATATTTTCGTGTCTTTCACAATGACTGTGCTGAATGCTTGCCCACATTATACATAAGATTTATCTCTAGGTATGATATCATGTATTTCACAACCGTGTACTGAGTTTCCACACTGCTTACATAATAAGGTTTCTCACCTGTGTGAATACTTTTATGTGCTCCAAAGTGACCAATTAAGCTGAAAGATTTCCCACAATTCTTATATACATAGGGTTTCTTGCCATTGTGAGATCTGCTTTCAAATGAGGGTTAATCGGTAAATCCTTTTCCACCTTGCTTACATACATAGGGTTTTTCCCTGGTGTGAGGTTTCATCATTATGACACTGTGTGTGCTAAATACTTTCCCACGTTATTTGTATATATAATGTTAATCTCTAGTGTGATTTGTTTAATCCATTTCATAACAACTCTGTATTTTGTGCTTTTTCACACTGGTTACATACATAAAGTTTCTTACACTTATTATTTCATGTATTTAACAATTTCTTTGTTGGTTAAAAGATTTCCCACAATACTTACAGACATAGTTTCTCCCTAGTGTGAATTCTTTCATGTGCTTTACAAACATACCTTCGCAGGAAAGATTTCCCACAATTACATACATATGGTTTCTCCCCAGTGTGAATTTTTTCATGCATTTGACAACTACTCTTATAGCTGAAAGATTTCCCACAATGCTTACATACATAGGGTTTCTCCCCAGTGTGAATTCTTTCATGGTTTTGACAATTTGTCTTTTGGTTGAATGACTTCCAACAATGCTTACATACATAGGGTTTCTCCCCAGTGTGAATTCTTTCATGTATTTGAAGATTTGTCTTTCGGGTGAAAGACTTCCCACAATTTTTACATACATAGGGTTTTTCTTCAGTGTGAATTCTTTCATGTACTTGACAATGACTCTTTCGGTAGAAAGATTTTCCACAATACTTACATACATAGGGTCTCTCTGCAGTGTGTATTCTTTCATGTACTTGACAACCATTCTTTTCATGAAAACATTTCCCACAATGCTTACATACATAGGGTTTCTCCACAGTGTGAGTTCTCTCATGAATTTGACAGTGACTGTGTGTGCTGAATGTTTTCCCACATTGTTTACATATATATGATTGATTTCTAGTGTCATTTTTTTCATGTATTTCATAACAACTCTGTGTAGTGAATGCTTTTCCACCATCCTTACACACATAGGGTTTCTCCCTACTGTGAATTCTTTCATGGCTTTCACAATAACTCTTTCGGTTGAATGATTTCCCACAATGCTTACATACATAGGGTTTCTTCCCAGTGTGAATTCTTTCATGTATTTGAAAGTTTGTCTTTCGGCTGAATGATTTCCCACAATTCTTACATACATAGGGTTTTTCTCCAGTGTGAATTCTTTCATGTAACTGACAAAGACTATTTCGGAGAAAAGATTTTCCACAATGCTTACATACATAGGGTCTCTCTCCAGTGTGAATTCTTTCATGTACTCGACAATCTTTCTTTTCATTAAAAGATTTCCCACAATGGTTACATATATACGGTCTCTCTCCAGTGTGAATTCTTTCATGTATTCGACAACGTCTTCGTTCATTAAAAGCTTTCCCACAATGCTTACATACATGGGGTTTCTCTCCAGTGTGAATTCTTTCATGTATTTGAAAATTCCTCTTTCGGGTGAAAGATTTCCCACAATTATTACATACATAGGGTTTTTCTCCAGTGTGAATTCTTTCATGTACTTGACAATTTTTTTTTTCATTAAAAGATTTCCCACAATTCTTACATGCATACGATTTCTCCTCTAGGTGAGTTGTTTCATGACTTTGACAGCGACTGTGTGTACTGAAAACTTTCACAAATTGTTCACATTCATAGGACTTCTCCCCAGTATGAGAGCTTCTATGTCTTTCAAATGAGTACTTATCAGCAAATCCTTCTCCACTTTGCTTACATACACTAGGTTTCTCCCTGGTGTGAATTCTTTGATGACTATGACACTGACTGTGTGTGCTGAATGATTTCCCACACTGTTTAAATACATAAGGTTCATCTCTAGTTTGATTTTCTTCATGTATCTCATTGCAATTCTGTGTAGTGAATGCTTTTCCATGTTGTTTACATACATAAGGTTTCCATCCAGTGTAAATTATTTTATGTTTTTGAAAGGAATGACTATGGGATAATGTTTTCACACATTCCTTAGTTACATAGGGCTTCTCTCCAGCATGCATTGTTTCATTTATTTGAAAATAGTTTGAAGGCATAAAAGTATTCTCTTGTTGTTTGTACACATAAGAACTGCCCACACCCTGATTTCTTTCCTGGATTTGAACACCACTGGGTGTGCTGGAGGCTTTCACATTTTTCTTACCTAGAAATGTTTTCTCTGCAGGCTGAGTCTGTTCACTAAGATCAGAATAGGCTTTCGCACATTGCTCATGCTGACATTGTTTCTCTACAGTCTTTCTCATTTCATGTTTCTGAAAGGACTGGAAATCACTGCAGGTTTCTCCATGTTTACTACTTTTATACAGTGTCTCTTCAAATCTCAAATACTTGTCTGCATCATTTCTGTAAAGGAAAAAGGACAAAAATATCCACCACAATGAAAACGGTTTTCATAATAACTGATCAGGACAAGTTGTGGTTTGATACCTAAGAAATTCGGATGATAAGTTGACTTAAAGGCAGCATGCCTCCAAAACACCCATTCTCAAAAGAACGGTTCTCATGTGGAAATATTCAATTGGTATATGTTTCCAAAGCATACTATCACGTTTCAATTTAGGGGATGGGTACATATTTGTATCATATTGGCCATTTTTTATATCTTCACTCATCACTCTCCAGTTCTCTCCTTACCCTAATCATCTTTCCCTTCTGCCAAAAGTCAGCCTTTCTGTTTTCTGCCATCTTTCCTTTATTTTACTCCCCCCAAATATTTTTAGTTTCTCATTTAAAAATTTGTTTCATTTAACACTGTGAGATGGAGGCCCATCTAATTTCATTTTTTGGCAAATGATATAAATTGTTGTTTTTGGCTGATTACATAACAATTTTTTTTCAGTGGTGAGAATTAAACACAGTTCTTAGCAGGGAACTATATTTCCAGCTTTATTCTTTCTGATTTTGAAAGAGTTTCTTATTGGTCATTAATTTGTTCAGGCTGAACTTCAATTTGTCACCCTACTGACTCAGCTTCCCATAGTACAGGGATTGTAAGAATGCACCACCATGCTGAGCCTATCCCACATTTTCATCAGCGAGGAATCCAGTGCTGGGCATCAGGCTCTTCCCAGGTGCTGGCTGTTCTGAATTGCTTCCAACACTTAGATAACGTGATTACCTATGGGTGATGTCCTTTGAACACTGGATGCATGCATCACTAACATTTGATGATTTTAATTCATTTCAGAATATACCCAGGGACGTACACTTGTTTCAAATGAAAACATATTTTGAGACATCTGTATATTTATTATCATGATGGTTCCATTTTACATTTCCATCAACAATGTATGAAGCTGATTTCAAAAACTTTTCAAACATGGACAGCTCAATATTCTGGAGGATGTTTTGAAAACATCTATTACAATAACACTAGCACTCATATGCAGTTTGAATACTGATTCAATGTTAGCAGTTTACTAGAAAATAAATCTCATTCACATGTATATGCGAATATTTTAAAGATAAATTCCTGTCAAAGTTCAAAACTTACTCATTTCATATCTGGCTATACACAACACCTAAATACAATCTCTCACATTTCTGTGAAGTTGACTATGAAATAATTTTTTATACTAACAGAACAAATAGTATCACTTGTTGCATAATATCCACACTATTTTAGTTTCCTAAATTGGAATATTTCTGCATTCGATTGTAGGATTATACAAAATGAACCTTTATGCATCTCTAGAAATTTTTGTGAAATTAAATAAATTGGAACACCGCCTCGTTTCTTCAGTTTCCTTGGTTGAAATATTTCTGCTCCCACATTGACTCTGGAGGAATATTCTTCTGTCTTGTGTGTGAAAATTACCTTAGATTTCTTGAACAATTTTTGTGTTGTTCTTCCATTTGCTGGTTACAACAGGTTTTTCCTGAATTACAGACATAGAAATATAACTAGTCACTATATCATCGTATAAAAATTAACAGATTCCAGTTAGATTTATGGTATAATATAACCAGGCCTGAGACATTCTTCAACTGTTATAACACTGCATTTAATTAAAGTACATCATTGAGTGGTGTGGTGGCACACCTAAAATCCCAGCACCTGGGTGGCTAAAGAACAAGTTTAAGGCCATGCTGGTCTACCCAGCGAGTTTGAGCCCAGCCTGAACTACACATAGCAAGTCTCTGTTTCAAAAATAAATAAAACTCATAAAAATAAATAAATTGTAAAAGGGAAAGAAAAAACCATCACGGAACAAGCTTGTATAAGAAAAGGATGTTAGTCTTACCTATAGCGGTCAAATGCATACATGTTTCCCACATCACATCTCTATAGAGTTTCTTCTGGGGTGGTTTCAGCAAAGCCCATTCTGCCTTGGTGAAGTTCACAGCTACATCCTCAAAGGTTACTGACTCCTAAATAATGACATTTTTCCTAAATAATGACATGTGTTCAGATGCACACCCTGAGATATCTCAACTTCTCTCATAAAAAGCCGATCTGAAGATGATTCCTTCAATATTAATTCTACGTCTTGGTCATCAAACCCATGTATATGTAAATATATTCATACAGTAATTCTGATGTTAATTCACACCACACTGCTAAAGTAACAGTGGAGTAATAGCACTGGTTCTCCTGCGGGATTGCCCACTTTGTATTTATGCATTGTCTCTTAATTTGAGCTGATAGAAGAAGCCTGCTAATCACAATCCAAAAAACACAGGGGCACATAAATATCTAATGAATGGTTCCGATATACCACTGATTACATCTCTTTTCAAATATGAATATTCACAGCATTCACTCCATTTTTCTTTGTACTTATGGAGAATTTTGAAATTTGAATCTGGTTTCATAAAAAAATTAATTGAATATTAAGGTTTATGAATAATTAAAATGCTAAAGGAAACACAGCTTCTTCTAGAGCAAGTCTATGTATGAACAGTGAAACAGGAGAAGGTAGCACATTATCTTATAGCTCAGTGACACCAAATGGTCACCTTACACTCAGATATAAGAAATATAAGGATGGTATACATGAAAGTAATGAGAGGACAAATATTAATGATATATTAAATTCAATGAAAACCAAGATATCACAAAGTAATTTGTCATTAAATACAAAAGGAAAACTCCATCCAGCTATGGTGGAATGTGCCTGTGATCCCTGCACTTGGGAGGGTCATATAGGAGAATTGCAATGAATCTGAGGATTGCCCTGAGTTTAATGTCCAGCCTGGGCTACAAAGATAGTTTAAGGACAGCCAAGGGTACAACGTAACACCCTACCTCAAATTCCTCCCAAAAAGGGAGCACTAAAAAAAAATTCTTTCACATATTACTCACATCTTTGATTTGTTAAAAAAAAAATTACAGCTAAAGAGTACAATAAGAGAATAACATTCAACACCTTATGAGCAAGGTAGATAGATTGTATAATGTACATGAAAGACATTCAAATTCCTCCTTTCATGTAAGTGTATCACGAGTAGAGGGAATGAGAAATGGACCTCAGGAATGTAAGACAGTCTTCAGTGGATCCACAGGTAAATAGAATATTGATTCATGATGGAGCTGGTGTTACACATCCCTGGAGGAAATCACAATGTGTTTCACTCATGTTCTAGGAGACCTAGGTATGTACTTGGAAATCTGGATTGTATACTCTTCTATTCTATGTACATAGGTTACATATTAAAATGGGAAAAATAAACTTGAATGTCTTAAGAATTTATAGTGGAAAAAACATTCAGAGAGGAAAAAGTATTTCCTCATTAAAAAAAAAAAAAGGTAAGACATCAGAAGTAGAAGAAGATACTGAAATCTACAAAAAATAATAAGAAGGCCAGGGATTTAGTTCAGTGGTTCTACTGCCTGCCTAACAAGCTCAAGGGAGTTTGATCCCTGGTACAAAAAAGAAAAAAAAAAGGACTCACTGAAAATCATTAGAGATAAACAAAAAAAAAAATATTTGCTGGGTACACCACATAACAACTTTGCATAGAGAATAAAGATTAATCTAAAAAGTAACTACAACACATCTGATTCTAGAGAAACACTGAATATAGAACAAGATTCAACTCTTGAGAATATCACTAAAGAAAAATGAGTGTGAAAAAACACAATCAGTAGACTTATGCAAAAATGGAGAATCAGCTACTAAGCTTCATACTCATCTCCTTTACTTAGCAGTTACCAAAATCCACAGGCCAGTGACTTCTTTCCAATATCTAGAAAATAGATTGTGCTGTTATGTCTGGGAATAAATGTGACTCTTTTCCAGCAAAACTGAAAAATCAGGAACTTCGTGACCAGTGAAATGGATGAGAAATACTTTTCCCTCCATTCAGTACTTATGAATAATAGTGAGACAAATATAAAAAACAAATAAATACAAAAAACTGTCACAAAACATTTCTCTGTGCAATACCATACTACTACTGAAAATATAAAGGAAGGAAGGTAAAAGAACACTACTCATGGAAAAATGACACATGGCAAATTTTGGAAAAGCTGTCAAAGGAGAAGAGTAGTCATCAATAACTTGTGACAGGTAGGGTATTCATCACCGGCCGCAATACGGTTTTTAATCAGTCCTACCTCATTCAGCATGTCTTATCTTGAATAGCGTCTCCAAAATAGCAATGAACTATAACAATAATGTGGCCAATGGTGTTTCTATTTGTACTCCTACAGGAATTGCTCATATAAGTAAATAGCTACTTCAGGAAAAAAGTGTGAGTTTGACAGGCAGTCTTTCTGGAAGCTGTCCTTCACAGCATGATTTCTACTTCTCTTATTTAAAATGCTAACATTTCTAATTTTTGGCATGACACTTTATAAAATTTCATTTATTGATTATTCATTAATTTCACTGCTCTTCTGAATATAAGACAGAGGTATACACATGAGTTTGCAAGTGATCTAACACTGATTTTAACCATAGGAAATGTTCATTTTCTTTTCATTTTTAAGTGATTTTTAAACACCCTATACTGACTTTGGAACTGTGGGAAAATGAATGTTAATTTTGGAATTTACCATCTTCACAATAAAGCCCAGAGTGGAGCCTATAACTTGTGTGTTTGAGAACTCCAATTTAAGCTTATTACACACTTAGCCTAATTAGATGTCTTAACCACTTTCCTGTCACTGAGACAAAACCTCAACTAAGAGGAGTAGGTTTTATGTTGACTCAGTTTTAGTTCATGTTCTCCTGGTTCCAAGGTAGAAACTGGATGGGACTGTGCAACATGGAGGAAAATGTATTCAAACCATGGCATCCAGAGAAGAGGGAAAGGTGGACGCAGCTACAGACATGGCTCTAGTGACTTGTCTGCAGCAACCCCACCTGCTAACAGCACAGTCAGGCACTTAAAATATCTCCGAGCAAATCTACCGAAGTACAAGGCCCGCAAAAAACCAACTTTCATACTTAAGAAAAATTTAGGGGACACTGCACAATCATGTATGGTGTGCTGCTGAAAGAAAACATGGCAAGCAACAAAGCCCACCCAAGAACCTCACGTAAGTCCTGAGTCTCCTTCCAAAAATCCCGCTCACCGCACAGCACGGTGAGCAGTGGAGCTGTAGAAACTGAGCTGAGAACATCGAGGTTCTGGTCAAATTAAAAGTACCATCCCTGTATAGGAAAGGATGCTTAAGTCTCAGCCCCACCCACAGGGCTAGAAAGGACCCAACCTGTATGTACCAGTAAAAACTGACATATAAAAACAAAGATTTCTCCACTCATGTGGAGAGGCCCACAACGTGCCAAAACTGGTTCTGTCCACTTCCACCCAGAACTTATGCCTCTAACACAAATTCTACTTCTGTCTTTGGGCATTTGGTCCTGCAATCACCTTCTGGGGGAGTGAGGTCTCCCAGGACCTTCCCACGTAACCAGTCTGTAGAACCCACAGAGCAAGTCAGCCTGACCCAGCTTGAGAGTCTCTCAGCCACATACTGGGAGCTGACAAAGGAGGATTCTATTCTCTGGCCAGCAAGATGTCTCATTTGACAGCTCACACAACCCAAACTCTTCTTCACTGATACAAGGCTGCCCCATGTTCTGCTGATTGAGCCAAAGGGAAAACACTACCTGCTTAATAGTGTACAAATGATAGACTGGAAACAAAACACTTGCCCGCCCAAGCTTCTCCTGGATCACTGACTTGACCCAGCCTGTTGGATCAGTGACTTGAAGTAGGATTTGCTCCTAGCTTTGTAGAACTCCTTAAGTCTGTTTACTTACTGTACTCTGGGGGATCAATTTCTTGTCCTAGACGATGGCATCACATCTCTGTGACTGTACTTCCAGATTCAATGACACGTAGAGAAAACCACCAAGCCCAAAGAATCTGTGCCCAGGTAAAGGTTGAACACAATACAATAGAAGTACTAAGGTCATCAGAGGGTAGAAAATAGAAGGAGACATTCTACTGCATGGCACAGACTTTCTCACACATTATCTCTTAATCTAATCATCATCAATAAAGAAAACAAAAGCATGCCAACAGGGAATGTAAGTATTTACTGAATGAACAAATTGGCATAATATGTTAGTAGTATTACACAAAGGAATCAAGATGAAATTCAAATGTTCAAGTGCCTCAGACAGCCAAGGGACTTTAACATAAGTTACAAGGAAATCCAGAATCCAGATATTTGAACAGTAATCATAGCAAGAAGCCTAGAATGATTTCTGTAATATAGCACCTCCCTCAATTACTTCTCTGTGATGAGGCAAAGAAAGGTAAAAACTTAATGCAGTAAATTTTCCAAAATAGGTTCTTTCCTCCTCACAGCATGAAAGTATTTCTCCTTTGGCATATTCATTTCACCAAAGTAATAGTCAAACCTGATGTCACCTGATGGATGACTTTGATTGTCACATTGGTCGGCTAGAGAGATACCTAGATTGTTAGTAAAGACATGTCTGAAAGTGTCTGGCAGAGGCAAGGAAGCATTCATGACTATGAGATGACATCAGGTGCATGGCCTGTTCCCCTCACCCTCTTTTTCTGCTGCAGCCTCTCCACTGGAAGGCTGAAGACTTTATGGTAGGAGCCTGAAGAAACTTGAGACCAGCATCCAAAGGCAATGGCAAATACCAGAGCTCATCCACAGAAAAATAAGACTTTTCCCTTTTTATTCCATCTAGGGTACAACCCTATGGGTTGTTGTCAACCACACACAGGGTGGGCCATCCCTCCTGTTCTACACACCAGTCTTCCACAGAGAAACGCAAAGCTTTACAAATGGCTAGGTTCTTACTCATCAAGGGTTCATACCACAATTAATCATCGCAAAATACTGCTTTTTGTTTTGTTTTGTTTTTGCTAAACATGGCCTTCACAGATATTCTTCATTTATAGTAATTAGTTTCTGATCTCATCAAATCTTTGCAGATGAAAATGAAAACATTTTCCAATAAGAGCCCTATGGCAAACAGACTCATCCTCAGACAGAAAACACACACAAAATAATCTGTATGTGAGACTCCTGCTTTCCTACACTCTGCAGCTTGTCATAGTCAAGAGTACTTCACGCTGATCCAGGATCTAAAACATTAAATAATTTTTGTCATGATAAATCAAAGATGTCAAAAACTTATTTTTAAAAGACAAAATTTATCCAAAAATATCAAATGTGAATAGTCCGTTTTTTTTCTGGACATTGCCTCCCTTACCACTCCAGTTTAGTACAGACCCCAGCAGCTCCATTCCCAGTTGATTCACACATTCTAGTCATCTTTGTAAAACCATTTCTGTACACCCACACAATTAATGCATGCAGTCAGTCCTATAATAAATCCTAACTAAGCACCATAGAAGTTCCTCTCCCTTTCAAAAAGTGTAACTGCTCTAAGTTTTATTCTTCTGGGGCTGAATCACACCACTCAGTTGAAATTACAAATTTAAAGCTGTTTTACAGGACCTATACTGACATTTGAGATGTATACTACAAACTTGGTGGTGCTAACCCTAACCCTAACCCAAAATGTAACTATTCACACCTTTGTCTGCTAATTAAAGATTTCCATTCTATCCCCTTTTCCTGCTGATAGAAGCCAAATACTATGAGTATGGCACTTCTTAATAATAATAAAAATTCAAGCAAACAAGTAAAGAAAAAAGTAGCATTCCCTTCTCCAAACAGTATTATACTGTTCTCCTGATTCAGTTGCTCAGAGGAAACAGATTAATACAGCATGACAAACAAGAAACAATCTGGTGGGTGAGTCCTATACTATAGAGGACTACACGAAGAGTGGAATAAAGGAGTAAATGGATACTACTTGAGTTTGAAAAGGAAAACATCTTGATCAACCAAAACATATCTGAAGACAAAAAGTAGTGGAAATGCAGAAAACATACGCAATTAAGCAAACATCATCGCTAAGCCCTGGATCCTTTAAACCTGCTCACCACACATACCTTGATCTGTATTTAGGAACTCTAATGGGACACTAAGCCAAATTTAAAATAGAACACAAAACAAAGCATGTACCTTATTTAATACAGTATACTGTAAATCACTGGCTGATCATCCTGTTACTAAGAAAGCAGTGACTCATTACCAGGATTCATCATGAGGAACAAATACGTTATATTGTGCCATGGACCACTAGTGTGAAAAATGAGTGAAATTTAAAATTAAATGTAAGGTTTAAAAAAAATTTTTTTTCCTTTTCATTTCTAGAGACCTAATACAAGGCCTCATGCACTTTAGACAAGTTAGGTTGAAGTGGATGTATACTCATGATATTTATTTCACAATGAAAAAGGATCTTATTCAGGTGGGACTTGAAGACTTGACACTCCTGTCTGTCTAACAAGTGGCTGGAATTAGAGGTTTACAACACAACGCCTCAGTGATTTTACTTTACCCAAGCACTGAAATCTTGGTAAATTATGGTGAGTCAGAACCCCAATCTTTAACCAGTAAGATAGCACATGCCTGTGTGTTCAACTATCAAGGAGGTGGAAACAGTATCTGAACTTCTAACAAGCCTGCAAAACTTAGGAAGATCTAGGCACAAAAATTTAAAAAAACAAAAAAAGCTCAGGGCAAAATTCCAGAGTTCAGTCCCTATACAATGAAAAAGATCAATTCCTAATTTCCAATTATCCCTCAGAAGTGACGAGGTGGGCTGATCAGAGGTAACAGAAGAAATATTTATGTGTTACAAAGTCCCCTTCCTTTCTTCAGGCCTGTGACCTTTCACCCTCTCTCAGACCCAGCCTGCAGTCAGTGCTTCACTGACGGTCACACTAAGCACTCTCTGACTTCCGGAGAAGTTTCCTGTTGTATTTGCTGATTTTGCCTCCCTCCAAAATCCCCCGTTCTCACATTGCCTTTTTACTCCCCTTTGCTCTTGCCTATTCAAAAAACCCTTCTATTGTATTCATTCCTATGCTCAAAGACCTTAACCATGGGAATTGACCCCTACTTCAGTACTTGTTTTATACAAGGTCCGTCTCAATCAGGGTTTTAATTTTTAAAACAAAGTCTAGACATAGCCCATGGATTACAGCAATTATTTCAAAGATGACACACATTTCCATTTAGAATCACAATTATTTCAAAGATGACACACATTTCCATTTAGAATCACACCAGTACTCATGCATGTCCCTGCAGGTCCCCTACTTCAATGCATTTCTCAATGTGGGCTCACTGTGCACCCTCTGTAGAAAGTTGTTCTTAGAACAATTTTCCCTCCCTTGCTAGCACATTATCCTCCCCTCCAACGTTCTCAGAATTCTACATTCTATGGAGGGCCTAATTTAAACAGTCTCATGGTAAAAAATATTATACTTAGTTACCATATAAAGAAAGCACCTAGCTAGTGAAAGGGCACGAGATATAGTTGGGTAATTAGTCATTTGAGAACAATTAAAATGAGAAGCCAGGTGAACTTGAGTGTACCTGTATTACTTGGGAATCTGAGGCACAAGGATCAACCACCATAGGTTTGAGCCCATCCTGGGCTACATAGAGCTCAAGGCTTGCCTGAGCTACACAGTAACAGTGAGACCCTGTCTGTCTCAGAAAACACACATACATACAAGGAATTAAAATGAAAACAGACAATTACCTAGGATTTAGGAATGAGAGTGAAATTTCTGCATTATAGAGAATGCAGCCTCGCCCCCAAATAAAAGGAGTTACAGCCACTCCTAAGCTCCTGAGTTTCGAGGAACTTAAAATAAAAAATAACAAGGGTCTCTCTAAAATCCCAGTTTCCTTTGAACCCTGTATGCTAAGGAAATGGGTTAGAGCCTGAGTTTGAAGTGTCTGTTTTAAATCCACAGACCCACCTGTGATAGGTGACCTCTAAACAATTCAGCTAGAACTGTGTTCCACCTGTTTATGATTATCTCTCGACTGAGCAGCTACAAGGCTACCTTCTTGGGAAGCTTCCTGGCAATCTGGGAGCTATTCTTATTTCTTTTTTTGTTTTGTTTTTCTTTGTTTTGGTACCGGGGATTGAACTCGGGTCCTTGCGCTTGCAAGGCAGGCCACTGAACCGCTGAGCTAAATCCCCGGCCCAAGCTATTCTTATTTCTAATAAAATCTCTAATATCTTTCTTTTGGTTCAGGACCTCATTCTTCTATATGTGTGACCAGACCACGAGCTCTGTTCATGCAGTGATGCCACTGTGAGCAGAGGTCTGACGTAAATAATTAAAGCGACAGTTTTTATTGCTGAGCATGGAACCCAAGGTTTCCCCAAAGCCCCTGTTCTCCTCAGACTGGTGGAGAAACAGCTCTGCCTGAGGCTGCTTAAGGAAGCACTCTGCGCTGGCAGTGTCACAGTTACAAGATGCTGGGGACTTCAAACTGTCCCTGCCGGAATAAAAGGGAAAAGGGACAGATGATGCAGAACCAAAGACTAGAAAGACCTCGGTGACTGGAACTAAGCAGGGAGGCTGTAGATTCTCACAGCTGCTTCTGGGTACTTTCTTTCAAAACCCACCCGATTCCATCCCATTCTCAGCTTCCGTCCCACAACATCACCATTGCCTGGCCTGTGGGTCCCACGGGGTCCTTTGAATGCAGCTCGCAGCCAGTAGAAATTACAGAGACAGGCGGTTTAGTTAGCTGGGGAATCTCGGCGGCCCATTCACGACGCACACTTCAACGCCATGACACAGGAAGAGCCCGCCAGGCTCCCTCAGCCCACCTGATTGGATGGTTCAGTCAGCCCCGCCTTCCTTCATCGCTGATTGGCTCCTGCTCCATTGCCAGCCCCTCCCCCCGCTGAGTGACGAGGAACAATCCTCTAATAGCAGGCGTGGCCTCTCTTTCTTTTGCAAAATTATCTCTCATCTTTTAATATACTTCTAATTTTTTCATATAAAAAGAATCATACTGCCGAGGCCAGGCGTGGTGGCGTAAACCTGTAATCCCAACACTCGGGAGGCAGAGGCAGGAGGATCGCTGTGAGTTCCAGACCAGCCTGGGCTGTATAGTGAGACAAAAAAAAAATATTGCCCGCTAAAACGAATCATACTGCGGAGGACTCAGTTCAGTGGTTCCGCCGCCTGCGCCACAAGCGCAAGGTCCCGAATTCAATCAACAGTATCAAAATAAATAAATGAATAAATATGTTTAAACTTTTGTGATAGATTTATTTCACTTACAGAATATGGATACTTTTCCCAGCTATTCCTCAAACGATGGACTAACATCTAGAATAAATGTTTTTAATTACATTTTTAATTTCATTGATTGATACTGGGTTATTTAGGATTAATAGGTCTTCATTCAATTGTGGTAATCACATGTATCTAGAAATCTGTTCATTCCTTCTGGGGTTTTCATCTTATTGACATATAGGTTCTCAAAGTAAGTACTGATAATCCTCTGGATTTCTGCTGGTTCTCTTTTAGTTTCAACCTTTTCATTCTTAATTTCATGGATCTGGGCCTTTTCTTCCTTTTTTTGTGAGATTGGCTAAGGGTTTCTACTAAATTCTACAAGATATTTAGAGAAAAACTGTTGTCACTACTGTTTAACTCTTCAATAAAATTGAAAGTGAAGCAATACTCTCAAACTCATTCTTGGAAGCTAGCATCACCTTGATCCCTAAAGCAGAGAAAGACCCAACCAAAAAGACAACTATAGGCCGATCTCCCCAGTGAATATAAACACAAAAATCCTCAAAAAGATATTGCTATACAGAATGCAGAAGATCATCAAGAAGATCCTACACTCTGACCAAGTGGGATTCATCCCAGGGATACAGGGATATTTCAACACATGCAAATTACAAATATAATACATTAAATCAACAGAGCCAAGGACAAAAACCATATGATCATCTCAATAGAGGCAGAAAAAGCATTCGACAAAATATAACACCCATTCATGACAAAAACCCTACAGAAATCCCTGGTACCAAAAAAAAAAAAAACCCCTACAGAAAATTGGAATCAATTGTCATCTCAGCCTGATAAAAGCCATCTATGATAAACTAACAGCCAATATCGTAACAATGTTCAAATACTGAAATCCTTCACGCTAAAATCAGGAACAAGACAAAGATGTCCACTATCACCGCTCCTGTTCAATATCCAGGCAGGATTCTTGCAGAGGACTGCATACACTTATCAGTGGTGTCTGGGCAGGCCGTGAATGGGGCCTGCTCACCTGAGAAGCTGTTGTCCAGGATGGATCCTAGCTGAGGCCTGCCCACCCACACTGCTGATGACCAGGCAGGCTTCTGGCTGGGGCCTATGAGCACTTAACAGAATTATATTCTTTTATCAATGCAGGAGCTATTGAGATTTTGAGGAAGGGAGTATTACATTTTTTAGACATAGGATAGTTCTATCTTGAAATACAGATTAATGATCTTGTTATCCTGTTTATTAACAGGTTAAGTGTGGCTTATAGGAATGTCTTTAGATACCAAGTTGACAAGTGGTAGACTTGTGCCAGTTAATGTTGATCATCACTTTGATAGGTAACAGGCTTCTTGAGGAGGTTAACAGACTCTAGGAATGCTCATTTAACAAATGAGTTAAGCTGCTGCTGCTGATATCATCACTAATATCTAACAGGATGTGGGATGAAGTAGGAGGAAGTGGTTGATGTCATAATGGAATGGATTTAGGAACATTATCTGGGTCCTAACTCCTTCTCATTATGTTCTTACTCTGTTCTGTGCTTTGTGGTTGCCATGAGATGAGCAGATTCCCTAAGCCATGCGCTGCAGGGATTAGGGAAGGGGATAGTATCCACATCTCTGCCTGGGGTCCTGGCCTGTGAACCACCACAGCCCGAGGCGAATTTAAAAACAGATAGAAACGAGACTTAGAGTGAAGAAGCTGAGTCTTGGGTCCTGATCAGTGCTGCTGATGGCAGCAAAGACCAAGGTCCCCAAGCACATCCAGTATTTACTGAATACAATCGTGAGAAGGAATAGGGAGCTAGGGAGATATAAAGTTATCTCGTGAATTATTGCCAAACACCTGGCATGATGGGGCCAGGCAGGGCTGTCAGGGATCAGCACTACTTATCTTGCTAGGATAGAAGAATCCCATACTGGGACCGCCCACAATAATCAAGAAATCCACAAGGTCAGTGAGAAGCGATAATTCAGGGGAAAGGATTTTAATTGGGGTCACACAGACTTCAGCTGCATGTAATTCAGCAGGGCCCTGCCATTTCACAGACAAGGACTTAGGCCTCAGTGACAGCCATTACCAATACCAGTCCAACTCTGCTAGCTGACATGCGCATTTGAGTCACATAGGGCTTCCGTCTAACTCCTGATATAAAACAGTATAGCCAAATTACAAAAACCAAGTCGCATGGGCCCCTCATAGCCTGCTAGTACTGGGCAGGGTTGTCTTCTACAATCCCTTCTGTCATGTTATTTTTGCTATAGAGACAACTATGCAGACTGAATCCTCTAAAACTATGCACCAGAATAAACTTTTCCTCCATCAAAATGAGATTATTGGATAGTCTGTCTCAGTGAAAGGAAAGCTGACCAATAGCCATGATATTCTTGGTAGAGAAACCGCAGAAAATCTAAGTGTGAGCCTACCGGTCCTGGCAAACCAGGAGTACTGTGGTTAATGACCTGCCCAGGATGAGCAATTATCCTGTGAGTCCAGGTGAGTGAAATCCAACTTCGCTATCCTAGGTAATACTGAGAATGTGAGTCTCCAGAGTTCCTCTGTGAGCGCAATGGGGCTGCTATCTTAGAATTTGCAGTGGTCGTGCTTGTGTCAGCCTTCTTCTCTATGTGTGAATTGCTGCCTTTGTGTCTTTAAAATACTCTGTTGGAAAAGAAAAAAATATGAGAAAATGAATATAAAGTGTTGGTAAATGGGGAGGAGAAGAGGGGGTGAAGGGAGGGCAGGGACAAGGGGAAAAAATGAGAACCAAGACTGTCATGTAAAGGTACAAGATCCCCATAATGAATATAACTGTACTGTACACCTAAAATGTACCAATAAACTCAATGAAAAAAATTCTGTCAGAGAAAGTCTTATCATGGTATATGCTATTTGTATGTTAATACACATCTCAAACTCACCTATGAGGAATATACAAGGATATGAAGCCACTGACAGAGGGGAGAGCTGACTGGTGGTACTGGCTACGTGAAAAGGGTCATTTTACTCTAGTGATGCAACATGGAGACCAACCACAGTTTAGACTTGTGTGTGTTCCACCAGGCTCCCCCCAAGCAGGAGAGGAGGAGATTCTGCTACACAGGATCTCTTGGGCCCTCTTCCTCTCTAGAATCCCAAAATGTTGCCTTCTGTTGGGGTTCCCCATGAAGTCAAAGTCATGAAGAACAAGGCCAAAATCAACACTATTTCATCTAATACATCTGAGCATGGATGTCACCCTGCTCTTCTTCTTTACCTGGGTCACTCCACATACGTACTCAGCATCATTGTGACACAGGTGACATCTTAATCCTTCTCCTGTATGTAACTAGGACATTGTGAAATGTGAATTTAGGAGACATGTCAACACCCCCGGGGGAATGAGTGGTGTAAACGCAATGTTAATCCAACCATGCTGATCAGAGCTGTGTCCTGATAGGGATTTGGTTTCGACAATTCAGGTCTGCGTCTGATAAATCTGGGAATAATATGAACCATTTGCTGTCTTGTTTCGTGTGTGAAATCCAAAGATCATGTCTCCCTTCCCAGGGAGAGGACGCTGTGTAGAGAAACTAAGGAATCCAACCTTAGGTTTTCTTTTCCACTTCTTGCATTTGGACAAAGGAGAATGGGACTTCAGAGCAACTAACAGTTTAAGAGAGAGTCCAGGGTTTGGGTTTCACAGCAAACAACGGGTAAAGGTCATGATGAAGTTCCTTGATTTAACACTTGAAAAATGCTTCTAACTGGTAGAAGAAAAGCAGAAAGAATCAAAGTCAGTGGTGTGAATACAATGAATAGTCATTATGATATTTATAATTATAAAATGTATATTTAGAACATCAACAAAAAAGATATAAATTCCATTTGACTCAGATTCATCTCTTCTGGATATCTTTATAAGAGTTAATGTCATTGTATTAGTGACACGTATGTGCCCATGTTTATAGCAGTGCAATTCGCGATAGCTGAATAATGTAAGTGGCCTATGTGGCCACCAACACAGGGGTGGGAAAAGAAAATGTACACGTGTGTGTGCACACACACACCTGTACGTGTGTGCAGTGAAGTACTACTCAGCCTTATAGAAAGAAAAACTTGCATCATCTTTGAAAAATGGATGCATCTTGAGATTGTAATACTCAGGTTAAATAAATCAGGCACAAAAAGTTAAATATCACATAGTATCTTTAATTTGAGAGACCAGTAATATAAATAATTGAAAAAGCAAAATGCATAGAGATTTTAGATATCACAAGATAGATTCCATTAGGTGGAAAGGGTGTCTGAAGAAGAAGGTAGCAGAGAAGTTTGGGGGAGAAGGGCCGAGAAATGATTAAGACTCAATGTGTAAATAGACCAGTTCCCACCATTGAATTTAATTTTATGTATTGCAAGTAAATATTAATTAAAAAGAAAAGAAGCACATGAAACATGAAAAGCAGGGCAAGGACCTGATGAGGTCTAGAGGAAGAAAAGTGTTGATGACCCTTCACTGTGTCTCACGCAGGAATATTTACACTGTGTAGTTCAATTTTTTTCTGCAGAGAGCTTGTCTAAAGTCAACTGAGGAAAGATCATATTTTTGGAAGTTGAAGTTAAAAATTATTTTACCAATTCTTTGAGTTTTCAAAATGAAATATATGAACAATGCAGGCTCAGTGTCCCCAAGGTCAGAATGCTCTTGCCTTGCAAACCTGCGAAGAGTGGATTTAAATTGTCCTGTGTTTTCAATGTTGTGCTTATCCACATATGCTTTGGTTGTTCCTTAATCATTTGCAGCAAATATCAAAGTATCTGTGGGCTGTGGATTTAGCTCAGTGATTCTGCGGCCTGCCTCACATGGGCCCAAGTTTGATTCCTAGTACAACACAAAAAACAAAAAAAATGTATATAATTTAAATCTCCTTGGCGTCCTTGGTATGTGACCCTCTTCTTTTACCCATGCTTAGAAATTTAGTTCCAGACTGCAGAGACCTTCCTCTGATTTTAATTTTTTATGTTCCATATTTTCTATTCCATTTTTAACATCGTCAGGATTTGTGACAAACCTTACAAAATTATTCTTCATCAGGGATGGAGATCCGAGAGCCAGTTAATGAATTTCTGAAAACAAGACAAACAGCGGTCAGCACATCCAAGAAATTCCAGGACAAGACTCTCACTATTAAGATTCATATAACTTCTGACTCAAAGCTAAGTGGTCAGAGCCTTATTTCAGCCAATTTCCATGGAAGTCTCTGCTGTTTCCTTCCAGAAGAACATGAAGAACACTCACAGTGCCATTGCCATATCCAGTTCGGAGCACAGCAGACACAGTGAGGGGCCTTGAGTACTGCCCTTGTGTCCAGGAACCACCAGGATATGCGCTGTGTCAGGACAGGAAATCTCCAGTGAATCCCCTTGGGGACAATGCACAGGCTGAGGGAGCCGCCCAATGTTCATGTCCCGCTCAGTCTGACATCGGTCCCTGGTGGTGAGAGTGGGGGATCGGAGTGGGGTGAAAGCCCAGCCCCTGTTCTCAAGTCTAAAATCCTGGAGCTTGTTCAGCTCCACAGGTCCTCGGTGGGTGAGATGGGCTTCCTGTGGGAGATCTGCAACTGTAACACCCAAGTTTGTCCCTCTCTTATGCTGCCCTTTGTCCTCTATGGTTTTCTTTGAAATCACGTGTTAGTGCATTTCTTGCTCATTAATCTATGTTTCCATTTCAGTAATATAACCAAGAGGAAATCTACTAACAGTATCAAGAGGATGTTTGGCCACAAGGAGTGACTCTGTAGGAACAGATTATTCCATTTCCTCTTCCACAAACATAACCATGGATCACACCCTGCTCTGCCCTCTTATCGATAAGTTTGTTTGTGTTTTTGGCCCATCTCTATAACACAGGAATTTTTTTTAATGTTTTCTCTATTCATTACTAAGGAACTGTGAATGGGAATTAGTGGACATACCAAGTCCCCTGCAGAATAAAGGTGTAAACAGCAGACTAATCCAGACACTCTGGGCAGATCTGTGTCCGCAGTACCTGCACTGGATACTTTAGCTCTGCATCTGAAGGGCCTGTGAACTTCATCCTGTCATTCAGCCTTTCTGTGCCCCTCTAGTCACAGGTCATAAATCAGGAGATTATGGAACTAACATCTAGGAGTCATCACATGTTCTTTGAGGTGATACCTGTATGATTCTAATGGAAAAATGGAAAAAAGAGAAAGTATTAAAACATATACATCCTACCCAGGGCCTGGCTCCTACAGCTCTCCTCAGAAAGGCACCTGGGGAGGAGATCCTCACCGTGAAACACACACGTCTCCATCTGTTTCTCTGAAGGGACAGGGAACAAGATGACGCTGCTGTTGTCATGCCCACCATACCCAGCCCTATGGCAGCAGCACAAGTGTAACCCTGGTCCACAAGGCCTCACCGTGCCGATGCAGACCCCACCCTGCCATCAGAAGCAGCCTTTCAACCCACTGCCCTCTCTGACACACAGCCCTGGCTCCCAGATGCTCTCTACCCGAGCTCGGTCTGTGCACCTGCCCCAGACAGCAGCTGCAGCTTCACATCGGCTCTGGGGTCACAAATTCAGGCCGATCCTCTTCATGAAATTCATGCTGCTTGAAATTTTTTGTCTTATTGTTTTCTCTTCTTGCAGTGAACCACACTTGGAAATACACCGACATTTTGAAGTTTGCTTCAATTTTGAATTAACTTGAAATGACTGTCGTCCTCCCCCATGCATGTGCCGTGGAGGGAGAGTCTGGATGATTCCCCTCCAGTGCTGACCATGAGCACAGGGCAGTGGGGCCAGGAGCAGATGGAGCGGGCTCCACACTCTCACTGCTGAACAGCAGGCTGAGGAGGAGCAGGACTCAGGGAAGGAGGCAGGAAGCAGAGAGAGCTCGGGAAGGGCAGGGAAGATGCTCCTGAGGCAGCAGGTGAACTGCCTCAGTAGGGTGCTCGGTGTCCCCTGTCAAGGCCTCAGGGGAAGGTAAAGCACCTACAGCCGTGTGTGGGCAGACATGGAGCACAGAGACTGTTACACAACGTGCTGAGCAACAGGGCTCTGCATGAACCAGGACTGGATGGCATGGAGATGTGGCTGATGTTGGATGGCGGAGATGCACTTAACAGGGTGGGGGGTCATTAACCATTAAGTATTTCTAGACCAAACCGTGAGTCACACGGTGTAGACCCCGGGGCTTAAACATGGATTTCACTGAAAAATACTAAGTGCATTTTGTCTTGAGCTAGATGTTAAGAAATGAAATGACTTCCTCTATGAATACACAATATTGTAAGTTCATAGACAGGAGAGTTCCTGGAAACTCCACGCCCCATTGATGACAAACACATGAAAGAAAACCCTTTAATATTTCTCAACTGCTTCAAAATTGGTCCCTTGTGCTCCATGTGTCCTTTCCGCCCCCTGCTGGTCTTGAGCATCCCTGCAGGGAGGTTTGGGTCTGGGCTCACACTGAGGACCCTTCACTGTGTCTCACGCAGTAATACAAGGCTGTGTCCTCGGGGGTCACAGAGTTCAATCGCAGAAAAACCTGGTTCTTGGCTGTGTCTCTGGAGATGGTGATGCGGCTAGCAAGAGTTGGGTTGTACTTAGTGACACTATCATGACCTATTTCTCCCATCCACTCCAGCCTCTTCTGTGAGTTCTGGCGGATCCAGTGCCACCAGTAACCACTGCTGGTGATGGAGAATCCAGAGATTGAGCAGGTGAGAGACAGGGTCTGTGAAGGCTTCACCAGGCCAGGTCCAGACTGCTGTACCTCCACCTGGGACAGGACACCTGTGGATAATTGCCATTAGTTCATATCAGCCACCTGCTTTCACTAACCCCCCACCCCGTCCGTCCATCAGACCTCACTGATACCCACCTGGGGAGGCTAGCACCAGGCATAGGAAAAGACCCCAGAGCCACATTTTCTAGCCCACAGCTCAGACTTCTCCAGCCGAGTCTTGGCAGAGGACTGCGAGCTCCCACAGCTCAAGAGGGGAATTTGAACCCAGAACTTGAATACTAATTTGCATAGGCAGATTCTTTTTATATGAGGGGAAAGAGTGAGATCAAGTTGCTTTTTTATTTTCTGTGTCTCAGAAGACCATTTCTCTTAAAATGAAGTACTTTTTACTTCTGATAAGAGAGCACAGGTTGTAAAGGATGTCTCGGAAGGTTGTCAAAGTATGATCCCATCTTCGTGAGAACAGAGTCCCTTCCCTACAAACCCCTTTCCCTTCCTGAGCCCCAGCCCAGTTCTCATCCTCTCTGGCTCTGGTCCTTGAATCCTCAGTGCTGATGCCAGCACAGCCCCTGGCTTGTCTCTTTGTCCCCTACTCTGTGAGGTGGCCCCATGTCCGCTGAGACCTTTTCATTTTATCACTTTGCTGTTGTCACATGAAATCCACGATGCCTCCTGCATTAAGACATCCTGTGATCTATGACACGCCTGTTATGGATAGGAGACAACCTGGATGAAATAACACCTGTCTTGTGTTTCACTGGCGAAGATAATCATGGTAAATCGGGGAAGAAAATTAGGCAATCTGTTCAAATGCTTTCATTGCACAGATGATACTTTCGTGTGTCATAATCAGCCATTAGAACTCTAAGTTCAACGTCACTATTTCTGCACTTAAATTTAAACTTCCTCTCTCATCATACACTGATGTTTCTAGAAAACCTATACCACGTTTACAGTGATAATTAGATTTTAGATCAAATATCGACACTCAATTAGCAATCAGGTTCTAGCTTCCCTCCTCTTCAAGTCAAACTAAGAAACTTGTCTCCAAACCACTCAGATACCACAGATCTTGTTTGAAAAGTAGTTTTTATTTTTTGATCCTCTGCTTTGACCCTTATGAGGAATGATGTAAAGTATGATGAAATCATTCTTTGCCCATGGGAAGTTGGTGGTTGACAGCAATTTAGCCAATACTTTGCCAGCAAAACTAAAATAATAATCATCACCAATGGATTTGAGGACAATACATTTACTGTTTATGTACAGACAGTTTCTGAATCAAATCAGAGATTGGTTGTTTCCTTACTCACACGTGTCTTCATGGACACTTAGAATTGTTCTTTCCTGGACAACATATAGGCCAACGTGTCACAGCATAATTCTTGTTCAGAATGCAGTGGACAAAACAGATGAAGAACATGGAATCCTTGACCAGGCATTTGGGACCACTATAAGGGTCTGTTTTGTCCTGCAATGAGGTCACATGAGCATTGTTGGAAAAATGCACTTGAACTAATCAAGGCCCCCTGCTCCTCCTGAGCATCCAAGAGGACTGGGGTTCTTGCTCTGCTCAAGCAAGGATGTGTCCGTTGCTCTGAGGGGAGGATGTTAGAATCCCAGACCTGTCTCAGGGATAAAATTCTGAGGCTTGTTCACTGTCATAGTCGAAATGGAAGCAGGACCCTGGCTTTTGTATGTGGTATATTTACAGGGGAAAACCGTGCCTAGTCAAGAATCTTTCCCTTGATATACTGAGGGTTTCTGAAGGTAACTAATGAGTTTTGTGGCCCCAGGAGCATGATGTGAACTCATCACGGTCCCCTCCTGTCTTCCAGTCCTCCAACATCTCCCCATCAATGCTCCGTCCACTGTGTTCCTTGGGCTCCTTCCACACCAGGAACCAGTGCTCACCTGTGATTCTGGATCTTCCTTTGTCTCTAAGTTTCTTTGTAATCATTCAGTCTACAATTTTATTTCTTTAAGGGTCTGTGAAAGCCTTGTGACATTAATTTTTCCACACATTTGTAGATTTGAATAATTGAGCAATGGTTTTCAATGACTTTATAGGCAGGTACAAATGCAAGAAACATTTGCAGAGGCCAAATTTGAACTGTTCTTTGAGGCAGAACTCTAAGACCAGTAATTCAAAATGGCATTTGCAAGATCAGGACTGGACGCTGAATTACACAGAAAAAGAAGACAGAGGAAACTCATGAAACATTTTTGAGTTTTCAGGGTTCTACAGGTAGCTTAGATTCAGAAATTTCAGTGGAGAGGATGCAGTCTGTCTACATCTCAGGTGAGGTCATATTTGGGAAGATGTCCACTGCCTCAGCTGGATATAATAATGAACCTAGGACATCACACCAGAAACAGGAAATCTCAGTCCTGAAACACAGGACACGTCATTTATGATTTTGGTCCTTGTGAGGTGCAGAGCAGGGTGAGGAGCTGGGGTGCATTTGTCATCCCATGATGAATGTGACTACAAGGCCCTTGGTCACACCTGTGGGATGGTTGTCTATGTATGAAAATGTCATCTCAGATCTGCCTTCAGGAACCGTGTGTGCATGCACAAACAATTTCCCTCTGTTTACTGTGCATCTACTTCACAGAAAACCATAGCCATAGGATGACATTATTAGGTGTAGAGATATATTTGACTGTTTTAGGAAAATTTAGAAATAGATATGTGACTGCAAAGTACAGAATTAACTGAGGTAAAACTTAGACAAAATATAGAAAAATCTATAAAGACCAAATTACAAGGACCTGCTTATTAAAGAAAAAATGAATGTTATGAAACTGGAGTGTTTTACCTTCTGTATTCTCCATTATTTTACAGATAAACAGATGGAAACCTAGGGATAAGAAATGAGAGATAGAGAGAGGAAGAAGACTCTTGATCTCAGAGAAAATAGTAGCACTATATTTTATAAATTTCAGGCCGGGGATTTAGCTCAGTGGTTCCACCGCCTGCCTCAGAAGCACAAGGAACAGAGTTCGATCCCCGGTACCAAATAAATAAATAAATAAATAGATTCTAAGATCATAAAGAAAAGGCCCAGATCCTGCTGTGCCTGCTTGGATAGAAAGAACACAGCAAAGCTCTGTACTGTGCCCTGGACTCT